GTGCCCCTGGTGGCGCCAGCGGCCCAACCGTTGAGGAGGTTGACTAGGCAAATCAAGCCGTCGTGTGCTGCAGGTGCTTGTGGACGTAGGCTCCGCCTGCAAAGCAAGCGGCCTGCCGTCGCACCCCTCCAGAAACCAGGAATGCAATGCCGGTGCTTGTACAGTGCACGGAAAAGCAGCATTTGCAGTTTCTGCAGCTGAGATGCTTGGGGTCAAGTGCAATAGGTTCTCCTAGCCGGCCAGGCATCCTTGTTGACACGCGGCTTTGCTTGAAATCGATGCCATCCGCTTTGATTGGTGGATCTGATGCTGCAGATTTGGTGTCAAGAGCTTGCAAAGCAACTCTGCTTGCTGCGCTATCCCAAGGTAGAGCGCCATGCCCCCCTTGATCGCGTTGTTCTCAATGATGTGTGCCCAGGCTTGCGGGCAACTCATCCCAGGTATCACAGGAGTTGCATGGTCCTTCACAAGCCCTCACCTCATGGATGGCTCGACCTACATTGCCGTGTCTGGGCGACACGCTTACGTGACTGGTGCCTTTGATGCTGGCTTGACAGTATTGGACATCTCTGACCCAAGCACCCCGACTGTAGTAGGAGCCATCAAGGACCAGTGGCTCGACAACTGCAGGGATGTGAAGGTTGCTGGGGACATAGCCTTTGTGGCCGGGTACGGGCCTGATCGCCTGACTGCAATAAATGTCTCCGACCCGAGCCGCATGAGCATCATAGGCTCCATCACTGACAGCATTCTTGACGGACCTGGCTGGAGACTATGCCTATGTGACCGGCTACTCTAGCGATGCTTTTGCGGTGATCAACATTGCCGACCCGAGCAACCTCACCATCGTAGGCAGTGTCTCCAGCGGCAGCTTTCTCAATGGAGTAAAAGGTCTCAAGGTCGTGGGGCACCTTGCCTTCGTGGCTGCTCAGAACTATGATGGTTTGACGGTGTTGAACATCTCCGACCCTACAAACCCCACCCTCGTAGGCTCAGTTGTCGACTCGACCGTACTCAATGGTCCTGAGAGCGTGGACGTTGTGGGAAACTATGCCTACCTGACCGCCGTCTACGAGGGCAACCTGGTAGCGGTTGACGTCACAGATCCAAGCAATCCCAGCATCGCGGGCCAGTTGAAAGACAGCAGCCAAATGAACAGACCCAGACACGTTCAGGTCGTCGGCGACTTTGCCTTCGTGACCGCCAGCACGGGTGACAGCCTGACGGCAGTCAGCATCTCCGACCCTTCCAATCTCACCATAGCGAGCAGCATCAGTGCCCCTCAACTCGAGTCAGCTATTGGCATGACAATCGTAGGAGATGTCGATTGTCGCATACGTGGCCACGCAAGGGACTGATGGCTTAGCGGTGATCAACATTTCTGACCCCAACAACGTGACCATGGCAGGCTCTTTTCGGGAGAGCAAGGTGTTGGATGAAATCAGGGAATTCGTGGTGACTGGGGATTATGCCTTCGTGTGCGAGAAAAGGTCAGTGACTGCCCTCGACCTCTCTGACCCCAGCAAGCCCACGATTGCAGGCCACATAGAGGATACGGTACTGCTGAATGGGCAGTACAACAGCATTGCCACAGTTGGAAACATCGCATATGTGGCTGCTCAGACATATGACGGAATTGTGGCCCTGAACATCACCGACCCGAGCAAGATGACCATTGCAGGGTCAATCAAAGACAGCAACCGCCTAAACGGAATTAGGTCTATCAAGATCGTGGGGAACTTTGCCTATGTGGGATTGGGAAGCTATGACGGCCTGGCGGTGATTGACATCTCAGACCCCAGCAACCTCATCATCGCAGACGTCGTTGGAGACTATGCCTTTGTTGCCGCCGCCACTGATGACAACTTTGTGGCGGTGAACAGCGCCGACCCAAGCAACCTCACCATCGTGGGTCAAGTCGGAAACTCTGTACTGGACGGCCCCAGAAAGTTTGCCATCATGGGCAACTTGGCCTTCGTGGCCAACTATGCCAACATGTTGGTTGCAGTCAACATTGCCGACCCAGCTAACCTCACCATCGCTGGTTACATCCAGGACAATGTTCTGCTAAAGGGAGCCTCATCAGTTGTGCTAGCCGGAGACCTTGCCTTCGTGACCTCTCACACCGGGCACGCTTTGACTGCGGTGAATATCGCAGACCCAAGCAACCTCACCATTGCAGGTTCTGTCCAAGACATGCCGACACTAACCGGTGCCTATGACGTGAAGATCGCAGGGGACCGGCTTTATGTCAGTTCCTGGTCCGCTGACGCTCTGGTGGCATTTGACCTACCCACCACGACCACGACCACCACCACAACAACCACCACAACAACTACCACCACCGCCACCACAACTACCACGACCACAACCACAACCAGCACCACCGCCGACAGCACCACCACGACATCGACTGCTTCGTCCACCACTGTGGACAGCACGACGACTACGTCATCAGAGGCGACGACGAGTACCAATGCGACAGGGACAGAGGTCACGACTACGGTCGACATTGAGGGAGGCGATGTGAGCTTCGCCAGCCAGCAGGCTGCAGCCTTTGGTTTACTAGCAATTGGACTTTTCTGCTGATGTTGCCAGTGGCTGATGCCGGGCAACAGGTGGGATGTCCAGTAATGAAGTTTTGAGGATTTGTTTTTAGAGAATTTTCCACTTGAGGCCCCCCCGCAATTCATCTGAATGCGCAATGCCGGCATAGACAGTTGACAAGTTCTTGCCGGCGAGCTGTGGCCACCCTTGTCAAATGGCGATTTCCCTAAATTCGTTATAGTACAGGTCCCTTGGGTTCCTATTATCACACAGGTCCTTGTGTCAATTTCCCCCCTTTAGAGAACAGAAGCTTAGGCGAAGTCCCACAAATTGCGTACAAACAAGACTCAACTTCCCAGTTGCGCAGAGAGCAAAGGACGCTCTGAGGCAGCTTTACATACCTTCTGTCTGGAATGCAGCGGGAAGAGGAGCATTTGCAGTTTCTGCAGTTGAGATGTTTGGGGTCAGGAGCAGCAAGAGCTCTGGAGCCAGATAGTTTGCAGTTCTAGTTCACGCTGCAGCCATCAGTTTTGCAGTGCCCAGCCTTTGCTAACTCTTTATCGACTCCGAAAGCCATGGCCAAGAAGACCGCCATCGGTATTGCCCCTGGAACCTGTTGAGATACTTGTGATGTGGCTGAGTTTAGGGCACTGAGTGGCAAGCTTTTGCATGGGGTTTGAGTCTGTTTGAGTGTTATTGTGGCATGGCTGTGACCGTGAGTCCACGACTACTTTTTCAGCCAACGAAACAGCAAGTGCTTTTGCTGAATAAGAGCAAGCAAGTGGACAGTTTTTTCATTGCAAGGGCTGCTGGCCAGCACGTACGCAGATATACAGGACTTCAGTTGCGCGGTTTGTAGTAGTTTGCTGACCAGCGCAAGGACCTGGGCACCACGTACAGCTGCGTGGGAGTTTGGAAGAACGACGGTGTGGAGATCATTGCCAATGATCAAGGTCGGCAGACTGGATTGATCAATAGAAC